AACAAATAAGGAAGCTTGTATTCACTGTTAATCAACATTCTATTAGAAGCACAAGCAAAAGGAATAAGGTAAGAAAATAAAATAAAAGATATCAAAAACAGTTTCATTTGTAGTAATGTTGAATAATGAGACCAACATTACTCTGGTACCAAAAGCAGGCAAGGATATCACAAATAAAGAAAACTATAAATCAGTATTCTTTTTTTTCTTTTTTTGAAAGATTTATTTATTTATACAAGCACTGGGTACAGTCAGAGGCGTGGGTGGGTGAGAGAATTCGCCAGAGCAGAGAGAGCAGAACAGGCAGAGTGACGAAGTACACTCCTGAAGGGAGCAGCGGGTAGCAGGAGAGGTCTGCGTGCCATGTGGGACCCTCGCCAGTGTCTGGGGATCGAACCGGCGCTGCAAAGGCTACGGGCAGCCTCGCAACCCAGCGCTCAACAGCTGCACCACCGGGGAGGCCCAAATCAGTATTCTTGATGAATATGGATACAAAAATCCCAAATCTTAGCAAACCAAATTCAACAATACATTAAAAGAATCATACATCATGATTAAGTGAAATTTATTCCAGGGATGTAAGCATGATTCAACACCTACAAATCAGTCAGCTCAATTCACCACGTTAACTAAAGGGAAGACGGAAAATCATTTGATAGCATTAGTAGATCAGAGAAAATGCGACAAGATTCAGCACTGATTTCTAATAAAAAACTCTCAATAAGATGGGGGAATAGAAGAACCATACCTCAGCATAATAAAGAGCATATGTGCCATAGCTAACACCATTCTCAATGGGGGAAGTTGAAAGCATTTCCACTTAAGATCAGATACAGGACAAGGCTGCCCACTTTCATCACTACTATTTAATAAAACATTGGATGTCCTAGCCAGCGCAGTTAGGCAAGAGAAAGATATAAAATGAATTCAAATTGGAAGAAGTGATACTATTTAAAGATGACATGGCAACATACATAAAAAGCCCTAAAAGAGTAAAAACCCTAAAAACTATTACAATCAGTGAATCAGTATATTGAAGTAGCAGATAACAAAATGAACGTACCAAAATCAGTTGTGTTTCTGTATGCAAACAATATATATTTTCCGGCTAGCACAGTGGCTTTTCTTAGAAGAGAAAGAGAAAATAATCCCATTTATAATTGCACCAAAGTTAAATACCTAGGAATAAACCTAACAAAGGAGGTGAAAGAACTGTACAAAAAAACTTTAGTAAGAAATTACTAAAGGAAGTAGAAGACAACGAAATGGGAAGTATACTTCTTGCTTGTGGGTTGGAAGAATTAAAATAATTAAAATGGTGATCTTACTCAAAGTAATATATACATTCAAAAAGATCCTTATCAAATTTTTTTTTTATTTTACATATTTTTTACATTTTTCATTTTTGCACAATGTATGCATTTTCATCTTGGTCATAGTCCCCATACAATTCCCACCCCCACTTATTTTGACCCTAATCCCCCACCCATGTGTCTCTGGTTTATAATTGCTTGTTGATTTTCAATGAGATACTTCAAAGAAATAGAGCAAACATTGCTAAAACTTAAATGGAACCAAAAAAAGACCTTGAAAAGCCAAAGCAATTTTGAGAAAAGGACTGAGATATATCATACTCGTACTTAAAACTATAACACAAAGCTATAGTAATCAAAACCATCATGGTTTTGGAATTAAAAAATAATAGATCAAAGGGGTAGAATTGAGGTCACAGAAATAAACCCACAGTTATAAGAGGAGTTTGTTTATGACAAAGAAACCAAGACTATACAGTTGAGAAAATAAAGTCTCTTGGCACATGGTTTTGGGAAGACTGATCAGCCACACACAAAAGAATGAAATGACCACTTACACCATATACATAAATTCCTTAGTTTCTCTATATTCCATATGAGTGAAATCATCTACACATCTGCTAGAATGGTTGAGATTGAAAAGACTTAAAATAACAAATGTGGAGCAGCTCAACGTTATTGGGAGTAGAAAATATTTTGACAGTTTGAGTCCATTTAATGGAATTTTAGAAAAGGCAAAACTAATCTATAATGATAGGAAACTGATCCGAGGTTGTATGGGATGGAAATAGGGGCCAAAGAAACAGGGATTGCTTGCTGAGTATACAAAGGAGCTTTTAAAGATGATAGAAATCTTGACTTTGGTGTAAGTTGTGTAAATGTATACATTTGTTAAAATTCCTTGAACTGGGCCTCCCTGGTGGCACAAAGGATTGGGCACCACACACTCTGAGGCAATCCTCAACCTCTGCAATAGGAGTTCGATCCCCAGCCAGCCAGGGAGCAGCCCACATGGCGCAGCAGACCTTTCCTGTCTTGCTCACTGCTCCCCTCAGCAGTGTATTTCAGTCAGTCTGCCTGTTCTGTTCTCCACTCTGTCTCTGGTCAGTCCTCTAACCCCACTGCATCACTGGCCTGTACCCCAGCTCTTATATGCATAAATAAATAAATCTTTAAAAAAAAAAATTCCTTGAACTGCATACTTAAAATGGGTGCACTTAAAAAAAAATCGATATACTCGACTGAAATTGATTTAAAAACAAGGAACCAACCCCCCCCCCCCACCTTTGTTCCAGTAGGCCCCGCTTTGGGAAGATATTGGATGAAATATGTGTTTATTGATTGGCTATAATTTGGCAGATCAGTTCCCCCCACCCTCCCCCGAGAAATAATGTTTTATATGGTAGAGGAAAAGTGACTTTTTAAAAGGTAGCTGCAAAGGACATTTTTTTGGGTATTTCTAGTTAATTAATCATTTCTAGGTGTGTAGTTCAGTGGCATTAAGTCTATTAATGTTGTTGTGCAACCACCTTCGCCTTCCATTTTTAGAACCGTGTTGTTAATCTATTTGTGACAAGTCACAGCCAATCATATTTTGTGTGGAAGAACAGGTACTTTTTTTTTTTAGTTTTATTTAAATATTTAATAGCAAGTTCTAAATTTTGGGCTGGTTTCCCAAGATTAATTGACATTTAGGCATCCACTCTTGTACTACTGGAACTTACTTCTAGGGGTATGGCTTTTGAAACTGTTGTCCAGTGAATTTGCTATTTCTTTCCCTACTTTGTTTTTAATTTTGATAAGGACTGAATCTAAAAACTTTCCTACTTCACTTACTTTGAAATTTGGTAACTGAACATACTCATGAAATCTTACGTTCAGGGTCTCCCCGGTGGCGCAGCGGTTGAGTGCTGTGTTGCGAAGCTGCCTGCAGCCTCTGCAACACTGGTTCAATCCCTGGCCACCGGGTGAAGGTCTCACATGGCGCGCAGACCTCTCCTGCCGCCCGCTGCTCCCCTCAGCAGTGTACTTCGGCCCTTTTGCCTGCTCTGCTCCCCGCTCTGGCTCTGGTGAATTCTCTCACCCTCCCGCGCTTCTGACTGTACCCAGTGCTTGTATAAATAAATAAAAATAAATCTTAAAAAAAAAAAAGAAATCTTATGTTCATTTTTATTGCTTACTTTCTGTAGTGCTATATTTTATATGGTTCTTGGCAAATTTCTTAAAATCTGGTTGGTCTATAAACTGACCTGCAGTGACCACTTTGAAAAGATATAGGAGAATGCTGCAGGTGTAGCTGGGGAGAAAATCAGTGCCAAACTGAGTTACCTGCCTAAACTGGATATGACAAGATACTGGCATCATACCATGTACTTTGACATTCTTGGCACAATTTATTCAACAGCTTTTTTTCTTCCTATGTCAACAAATGTTTATTGAGTACTTGCTTTATGTCTGAGATTGTGCCTGTGAATGTAGAAATGAATTCCTACCTTTAAGGAACTCATCGTTTAGAAGGGGATACAAACCTGTAAATAAAATTGTAATGTTAAGTACAATCAATGGTGTAAATGTATAGAAAGTATAAAGATTGATGAATTATTTGGTATGGTAGGAGGATGAAAGAAGGATTCCGTTAGATAAAATCCAAGCTAAATTTTGAAAATGGAAGATGAGTTTGTCAGTGGTAGGGAGGATATTATAGACAATGAGGTCAGCATGTAGAGCAGACATAGATGCATGAAAGACCATTGTATCTAAGGACACACATGGTAAGATTAATGGAATACTGAGCAAAAACTAAACTTTAATACTGTCACTGGGATTAATTGTAAGACTAGGACATGCATTGTATTTCTGTTTCTCAAATACATCTCTCCCTTCTTTCCTTATTTCACTCTCTTCCTCTTTTTTTGCCCTCATCTCTCAAAAGTGTGTGTGTGCGTGCGCGCGCACAGGATAATTGAAGGAGAAAGGAACTAAGAATAAAGACCTTGATTCTGATTCTCACTCATAGATCCTCCACTAAGTAGACCACTTTCATATTTCTGAACTTTAGTCTCCTCATTATATAATGTATAGAAACTATATGATCTATGCATTTGAAATTTTTTTTTTTTGAGGGAGTCACAATTCCAAGTTCCTGGAGCAGGTCCTCTTCCAATGAGTGGTCTGAAAACTTGTATAAGAAGTAAGAGTATAAATAGTTAAATAGTGACAGAATAAGCAATAAAGATTTATGTACAATCTATTGTTTTCCAGAATGTACTTAGTATATAGAATACATTAGTCAGTTGCCATGCAAATTTGTAAGGTCCCGGCGGAATCTACAATATCTATATACATAAGATTCAGTTAGATTCAAATGTCATATGCTGTTGTAATTATGTGTTCAATTAAGAATATGTATTTTAAAATATTTTTAGTTGATCATTTCTCATTTTAATTTGATTGTGCAGTTGTTCTTGGACTTATTCAGATGTGTTTTTTTTCCCTCCCCTCTCTTTGGTTATAAATTGTTATGAGATCTTTTTTTGTCACATCAAAACTAGTGTTTATTCTCATGCTACCTTTATGTTTTTACAGCTACAGAATGTTTACTTTGGAACAGGATTGCAAAAGACCGTTTTAATGTTACAGAGTTGCTGTACAATACTCTTAAAATATAATTTATTTCTTTATCTTTAGGGATCCTATTGGGCAATAGATACCAATCCGAAGGAAGATGCGCTGCCTACTCGGCCAAAGAAGAGAGCACGATCTGTAGAACGGGTAAAAGCTCTTTATCACAAATTTGTCATGATGGGGTTATTTTGTCATAAATTTGGATTTTAAAAGTTCGTTTCCTGTACAACAAATATAACCATAACCATAATGAAAGTAATGGTTCAATTAACTAGCATTTTCTTTTTTTCCTCCCCAAAGCACATTTTATACTTACTATTTTGCTTGATCTTAACTCTTTTGAGTGAGGTGGACAGTGTAGGAATTAAATAAGTCTTTTTTTTTTTTTTTTTTTTTTGTAATTAGGACATAGATTTTTTTCTGAGACTTGAATTCAGGTCTTTTGATTTTTAATTTGGTTCTCCTGCATGTACAACACTGAGGACTGGTTTTAATCTCTTGTAATGCAGGTGATCAGTCTGATTACACTGATTACATTGAATTTTCCCAGTTATTCTGAAATGCTTTTTCCTGTTTCCTACTTTCTGATAGTTACCTGGTACACAATATATTTCTAAGTGTATGTGTGTTAGAGAATTATTTCTTGTGAACCTATGGTTAAATTAGTTTGCAAGAATGAAAGAGAAAGGGATTTACGTAGTTGTCCTAAGTTGTTTGACATACTTTTAGTTAAAGCATTGGCTGTCATTAGACATTAACCTTACCCTTAGTTTTTCCTCACTCTACATTTCCTTCATCTCAGCTCACACACACACATACACACCCACACCCACACACAGCATCTACCCTACTATCTTTCAGAGCTGTTTAAAATTTAGCTACACTGTGAAGTTTTTCCTCTTTCTTCATTTGCCTTATTGCAGGATTTTAAGTTACTTTACAGAATTTTCTTATACTTTAAACAAATTATTTGTTTCTATATTTGTCTTCTTTGCTGGGCTGTGATTCCCTAAAAGGCAGAGAGAATATATCTCCAGTGATTTTCACAGCTTGCAGTAGGCATTACTAGGGCAAAGAGAATGAAATGAAATGAAAGAAACTGAGTCAGTGTCGGCTCAAATACATTTGTTCTGTGCTCCTTACTGGTAATGAGATGAAACAACTCAACTTCAAGATGATAAGGAGCTTAAATAGGGTTTAAACTGAGATCAGGAGAGCCATAGCTGAGGCATAGCTTTGATGGCATTTAGTCAGGCATATTTATGGAGCCAGCAGAAGGCATTCATCCAGTTCCCAAGTGATAAAGGTTTAAGGTGATCTTTCAATCTAGAACAAAATTGGCTTTATAAAAAATAAACTTTAGTATTGGTGGCATAATCTTCTGTCTAGTAAGAGTTTTAATTCTAAGCTTGAAATATTGATGAGCTATGTATGTTATGGTTTAAGAGGAAATGAACTCCAGTTCTGCCCTTCAGCCTCTGCCTTTTAAAACAGACTAGGCATATGGACTTAAGTCTTGTGAAATGTGGAGTACAAACCATTTCATATTTTTTGCCATAGTTTGAAGGGAGGGAAGAAAAATCCACATATTTTTAACCCAGAGCATCAGCAATGATGTGTATTTTGAAGGACTGAGGAATTATGGTCTTCTCTATTACTGCTCTTTTCTGAAGTTACTGGAACTTGAATTGTTTTTGGAAATTTGAATTGGTGGTTAGGTTGTCAACTGTGCATTTCTTTTTTGATATTAACCCTACCTTTTATTCTGTAGCCTTGTTTCATAGTTAGAGTAATCCTTATTTGGAAGCTTTTCCCTTTGCCCCCCATTTTTTTTTTGAAACCATATTGTCAGTTTTATAATGGAAGTCTGTAGAAGTATAGGATTCAGATTACAGAGTGTTCTATATATGGAGCATCCGTTCTTGAATGAATACAATATACATTTTGAATATATATTCTTGAATGAATAAAATATACGTTTTGCACATATATTTTCTAATTCATTTTTTTACTGTTTATCTTTTCAGCTTTATTTTAAATTTAAAAATATATGAAAACCTCAACAGTTTACCTTGTACTATTGTTCCATAAAATATCTAGAACCAGAGCCTTTCATTTATAATTTTGATATTTATGAACTGTGTGTTGGTTGCTACTGTAGGAAAGGAACTATAGAAAGAGACTAGCAATAAACAGAGTATATATAATCAGGAATACCAATAATGTTTAACACTCTTAAAGTTAGTGTTCTTACAAAACATAATTTCCTATCCTGATAGAGTGGTGTGCCTATGTTTTTCATTTAGAAGGTTTTTTTTTGGGTGGGGGAGGTAGTATTTTGTTAGGACAGAGTTTGTATTGTAAGTAAATATTGGGTTTTATCTAAGGAAATGCCCGAGACAGTCAAATAGTGATGGCTCTTTGTATGATTTTATACATTCAAAGTTTTGTTAATAACTATTGTGTTATTAACCTTACATTCTTAACTCAGTTCTTTGAACCACCTCCTTTACCCTTCATTTATATGAACATAAGTCTGTGTTTTCTCTTGATTGTCAAAATACTTACTCCTTTCTTCTTTTCTTGAATTCTCCTGTCTTGCCCTCTGTTCCTCTCAGCAACAATGCTGAGGATTTCAGTAAATCCCCCTTTTCTGTTCTCTGTCTCTGGTGAATTCTTTGACCCTGTGCCTCTGACTTACATCCCAATTTTTCCTGGCAACATTTGGTTGCCCTTACGGGGAGAAATTGGATACAAGGACCCCTTATTCCTTCTTTTTGTTTCTCATTCTCCAGTGGAATATGAGGAAACCTGGGAACCACTGAAGAATCAGGTTGGGGTATACCCTAACGTTACTGAAAGATTCCAGGCACCCTCAAAGACTACTGTGACTGTATTAGGTAGAGAACAGCCTTTTCTTACTTTGAAAGCCCCAGTAGGCTATTTGGCTTGTGGATGTCAATTGAATAGGTTTGATTTAGGCATTCCCAAGTATCCTTGAAAGGCCCCACACAAGCTGGGCAAACCTCCATAGCTGGGATGATGGGTGGTTTCATTTTCTTCTTGCCTTTTAAAAAAGAGTTGAAATCCTAGATCCAGTGTGATGGTCTTTGGGAGACAATAAGATCATGAGACTTGAAGCCCTCATGAATGGGATTATTGACCTTGTAAGAATAGGTCAAAGAACTGGTTCTTTTTTCTCCATGGTCCTGGAATTGTAGCCTGTCTTTGTTACCAGTGCTTGCATGTTCTGGTTCTTACCTTTAGCCATTGAGGTCTGCTGTGACATGAAAGTGACTATGCTTGGTGACCCAGCCCAACAGGGAAAAATCCCTTAACTTTCAATGTCATGTCCTTACAAAAACTTTTCCTGATTTTGCTGGGTCTTGATTACCTCCAGCTCAAAAATAGTCTACATGCCAAAGTTGCGCATTCTTTGGTGGCTTGTTCTTAACCCCCTCAATGCTAAGTATTGATAGATGGAGCTGCAGTGGACAAGTTTGTGAAATGTAGGGCTATAAACATGAATGAAAAAGTTATCGAGAAGATTAGCATGGTGTTGGGTTTCTATATACATGCTCAAAATTGAGTGTAACCTTTCATTTTATCTGTTTGATATATTTGATATTTGTTTGGTAACTGTTGTGTGTCAGGCATTATGCCATGGCACAAAGACAAAGTATATGTGGAAAGTATTATAAGAAGGATATAAAGTATTGTGTGCAGAGTAAGGTAAGATTGTCTTACTGGGACTCTTGAGAAGACTATGGATTATGTGATTAACTTTCAAGGGGAGAGAGACAGTGCAAATTAGAACATTTATAGAGCGCGTATTTGAGTTGTGTAATGCCTGCCATGAGCTGGCATTCTTTGAGATGCTGGGGAAACAGCAGTGAACAAAAAGATATCCTTTGCTCCGGTAGTTTACTTTTTCTTATGGAGGGCTTTGGAGGATGGGGTAGAGGAGGCATGAGATAAGAGGTCTTGATGCAAGGTACGATACAGGGGTACAAAAGTTTTTGTTTTTGCAAGAGAGAGCTTAGTATTCTGTCTTTCAATTAATTTGATTATTAATTTGCATTCATGCCTTTCATTGAGAATGAATGCATGTGTTTCACATTCTAATTGTTAGAACTAAATATTGGGTGAGTTGTGGCCTACAAACTGGCTTATTGTTTGCTTGTGTAGCTCTTAATCAAAGAAGATAAACTGATAGGCTAGGTTGACTCTACATTCATAATGTTGCTTATTGTCTCAGTATTATTAGTAGTTTCCTCTTCATTCTTAAAATAGCATGTGGATGATAAAGTATGTGGCTCCCCTGAAGATGAAAACTATGGGGTCAAATAACAGAGAAGCATAATTGACTCTAGGGCTTGGGAAAGGTTTTATTGAAGAACTGATGTTTAACTGGAGGCCTATTAGATGAACAACAATAAGACAAATGAGGATGGTTGGTATGTGAGGGGAGCTTACATGTGAAGACTAGTGGTTTAAAACAAGGGCTTAAAAATCAAGGCAGTTACTCTTCAGTGTGGCTGCAGTGTAGAGTCCAAGAAGGACAGTGATTTCCTGAGGCTTTGATATTCCTGTCCTATTAGTTTCTGGTTTTGTATTCTCTTTGATCTTTTATATTTTGCTTTTTGATTTGGCTAGATGTTCATTTCAACCAGTATTGCTTATTTATTAATGAAAAGTGTCCTGCCACTGGAAGCTGCTTAGTGCAGAAAAAAGTTTAAAAAACTTTTTTCTTCTATTTTCTGTAGACATTTTTCTTTTTGAAGCCCAACAAGCAGATATACCATTCCAAGGAAGCTGATGTCATGTAGAAAAGGGAACCCAGCTTGGCAATTTTTCGTTAAAGAAATGCTCTGAGACAATGAGTGTTCCACAGTAGTGCAGTTTTTCTATTTTATGTTAATAATCACAGGACATACTCTATTCTCTTCATTCTTTGATTGCCCCCCCCTTTGTTTTTCTTTTTTTTTCTTTTTTAAAGGTTTTATTTATTTATTTATACAAGCACTGGGTACAGTCAGAAGCGCGGGAGGGTGAGAGAATTCACCAGAGCGGGGAGCAGAGCAGGCAGAAGGACCGAAGTACACTGCTGAGGGGAGCAGCGGGCGGCAGGAGAGGTCTGCGCGCCATGTGGGACCCTTCTCCAGTGGCCGGGGAGCAGCCGGGGATCGAACTGGTGCTGCAGAGGCTGAAGAGGCTGCGGGCAGCTTCGCAACCCAGCGCTCAACTGCTGCGCCACCGAGGAGGCCCCCTTTTGTTTTTCTTAATTTCAACCTTGTGTCACCTTGTGTCTTAATTATTTCGTAATGCTGTTCTTTGCTTATAGGAATCTGTAATGCTAAAGCAGTGTTTCTCAGTATGTGCTGCCCTTTCAGGGGGTCCGCAAAGTCAAAACTGTGTTTATAATAATATTAACATTTCTTTAAAGGCCTTTTGTTCCCCCAGAATTTTTCAAAGTTGATGTGACTTGTTATTTTGCCATAGGTGGAATGCAGGGGTAGATATGAGAATCCAGTGGTTTCCTATTAAGCCATGAATTAAAGCAGTTTGTAAAAGTATGTAAAATAATGCCTTTGTCTTGTTTTGGAATTTTAAAAATCTCTGGTATACTCTCAAAGACTTAATCTAAGCAATGCCACCATTAATGCTCTTGCATGGTGTATATTTTTTCTTGTATTTCAACCCATCTGTGCCTCTATATTTGAAACTGTGAATCTTGTAGGGCACATATATCTGAGTCTTTTTTTTTTTTTAAGCATCTCTACCAATCTCTGCCTTTTTATTTTAGATCATTAACATTAGTATAATTATTGATGTTAGGCTTAGGTGTGCATTTTATTTCCTATTTGATCTCTGTGTTTTAGCTCCTTTCTCTTCTCCCTGTAAGCCCCCCTCCCAACTTCTTCATCCTTCTTTTAGAATATTGGGATTTTTTATGTTCTATTTTAATTTCTCTATTGACTTTTTAGCTATACCTTTTATTATATTAGGATTGAAATTAGGATTATTGTATTAGGATTGTAATCTAACCCTTAACATCTACTTAGAGTTATATTGCACCACTTCCAACCATATGTGTTCACTTTGCCCTTTCTCTCCTCATGTAGTTGTACTATGTATAACATCACAGTGTTACAAGTTTTGTCTTAAATCATGTGATTTTTTTTTTTAAGTCTAATAGGAAAATAACAGTCTTCCACATTTACTTAGATGTCTAATGTTTTAATTCACCCATCCAGGTTTAAAGTTTCCTTTTGCTATAATTTCCCATCAACCTAATAAACTTTCTATATTCCAAGTGTCATAGCAACAAATTCCCTTAGTTTTCATTCTCTGAAAATGTCTTTCTTTTGCCTTCATTCCTAAAATAAAGAATATTTTCGGGCCTCCCCGGTGACGCAGCGGTTGAGCGCTGGATTGCGAAGCTGCCCGCAGCCTCTGCAGTGCCAGTTCGATCCCTGGCCACTGGGCGAGGATCCCACATGGCGCGCAGACCTCTCCTGCCACCCGCTGTTCCCCTCAGCAGTGTACTTCGTCAGTCTGCCTGCTCTGCTCTCCCCTCTCATCTGGTGAATTCTCTCACACTGCCGTGCTTCTGACTGTATCCAGTGCTTGTATAAAAAAACAAACAAACAAATAAATAATTAAAAAAATGGTTCTTTTAAAAAAAAGAATATTTTCATTAGGTAATGTAGATGATATACTATCGCTCATTCAATCTGGATTAAAATTTTTATGCTTTCATAAACTTTAAGAGAGTGAACACTTTAAAGATGTTCAGACTCTTAATGATCTCCATCATTTTTATGAGACATGCATATTTTCCATTTATTCCATTGTATGTGGGATGTCATTTTTCTCTGGCTGCTTTCTATATTTTTCAATGATTCACTTATCATGTATCTCTATATATTTTTTCTTTGAATCTGTCCTGATTTGGGTTAACTGCTTAGATTTGTTAATTTGCCTTTCACTGAATTTTCAGTCATTTCTTCCATTTTTTTATCCTGCGCTTTTGTCTGTTTTCCTTGCCTGCTGCATATACCTCATTTTGGTGTAAGTCATCCTAGGCTGTACCTAAATTAAGTTAAAATAATGATAAAACAACTGAGAGGCATAAACCTGAGAGACTTTTTCCTCTCTCAAGTAAAAGTCTGAGAACTGATAGGTGAATCAGAGTGATAATCAGCTCTATTCCACAAGATCATTCAGATGTCCATGTCTCCCCAGTGTTCCCATGGTTTTACCCTCAGCTTTTTGGTTAAGCAAGATCAGCACTACTGTTTCTGTGTCCTAGCCTACAATAAGAGGGAAAGAGAATGAAGGACAAGAAAGTTCCTTTCAAAGACATCACCCAGAAGTTGCACTTGTTCTTGCTTATGGTCCATTGTTACTCATTGTGAAAAGGCCACAACTAACTGCAAATGAAGTGGGAAAAGATAGTCATTAGCTGGCAGCCATGAGTTGATAACATAGAATTCTGTTACTAAAAGGGAGAAAGTAGAGAATGAAGATTAGGGAACCATTAACAGTCTTGAAGTTTTTAATTTTTGCTAATACCAACCAAGTAAAAGAGTTGTTAAGGAATAGCCACACCAGTGGACTTTATAGGATCAGGTCAGCATTTTAAAATATAATAGAGGCGATTTCAGTAGTGGATCATTTTCAGAAACAAAGCACAAAGCTGGATAGATGTTGGAGAATTTGATGAAATGCCTTCAAATTGTATTAAAGTTGCTGGATATATAAGGTAATAATTATTTATTTTGTTCTTGTATTGTAGGCCTCAACTCCATATAGCATAGATTCAGATTCTTTGGGAATGGAGTATATTATTTCGGGAAGTGCCTCTCCAACTCTGGCAATCAACACTGTGACTAACAAAGTAATTCTTTTTAAACACTTTTGAATGTCATTGAGTAATACATTTAATTTTCCATTATAATAACAATAGAATTCTGTATGGTGGAGGTTAAAGGTGATGAAAGTTTGGCTAACTCATGTATAGCAACCTGAAAGCTGATCCCATTTTGTTTTGCGTTTTATACACAGAGAAGAAAATATTTCTCTACAGCAACTGGAAGGTGCATAGTGGGATACTCTGTATTTAATTCTTGACACTGCTATTTCCCATTGATAGAATTTTGGAGTCATCATTTTATTGAATGAGTTTGTTTTAAAATTATTAATTACCTCTCTAAATATGTAATTGAAAAAAAGACTATTAAATTCCCAGAAAGTGAACAGAATCCAGTCCAAAATTTGGACAAATGCTTAGATTTTATTGGAATATGATCAACCTGTTTCAATATTCAAGTATAGGTAAAAGCCCAGAAATGGTATGTTATTGTTTGATGCATTTTTGTGTGTGAATCAACACTCAAAACTCATTAGATACATGGTGGAACACAAATATCTCTTCTTTACTAAGTCATTTCTTAATCTCATATCTGAAAACTCTAAAAAAGACACTGGGAGGTTCATGAAGTAACTCAGTTTTGTGGATGTTTTCTTTTTTTTTTTAATTTTTTTTTTTTTATAGAGGCATGTTTTATTTATTTGTTTGTTTGTTTTGTTTATACATGCACTGGGTACAGTGCGGGAGGGTGAGAGAATTCACCAGAGCCAGAGCGGGGAGCAGAGCAGGCAGAAGGACCAAAGTACACTGCTGAGGGGAGCAGCGGGTGGCAGGAGAGGTCTGCGCACCATGTGGGACCCTCCTCCGGTGGCCGGGAGCAGCTGGGGATTGAACCGGTGCTGCAGAGGCTGCAGGCAGCTTCGCAACCCAGCGCTCAACTGCTGCACCACCGGGGAAGCCCTGTGGATGTTTTCTTTACTAGACCATGAGCAACTTTTAACCATACATTTCTCACACTCATGCTCATGTTCTATTTCATTCTAGCTTTTACCCTCCTTCTTTCTCCTTTGATTTCATTTGCTCTTGCTTGTATGTCCCTCAACTTCCACTTTCTCATGCACATAAATACAAAATGTATTTATATACACAGTTGTGCTAACATAGTACACATGGGATCTTTTTATTTGTAGAAAATAATAAAAAGAAAACATTGTATAATCAGAATAACTGATCAGATTTCCATTTCAGAAAAGAAACTGCTAACTCACATCTTTCAGATAGCAGAGTAAATCCATATGGAAACAGCCTAAGTATCCATCAGTAGATGGATAAAGAAGATGTAGACACTGGAATGTTATGCAGCCATGAGAAAGAAGGAAATCCTGTTATTTACAGTAATGTGAATAGGCCTTGAGGCTTTAGGCTAAGTGAAAGAAATCAGAGAGAGAAAGACCTATACAGTATTATATCACTTATATGTGGAATCTAAAGAGCAGAGTAGAATGGTGGTTACCATAAAGCAGAGTAGAATGGTGGTTACCAAGATGTGAATGTTTGAGGTACATGGGGACATGTGGTTATACGGCACAAACTTCAGTTTTAAGATGAAGTTTTGGTGATCTAATGTATAACTTGGAAATTATAATTAACATTATAATATTATGTAGTTGAAAATCATTAAGAATAGTGGATCTTGGGCCTCCCTGGTGGCGCAGCATTTGGGTGCTGGGTTGCCAAGCTGCCTGTAGCCTCTTCAGCGCCGGTTCGATCCCCGGCTGTTCCCCGGCCACCGGAGGAGGGTCCCACATGGCGCGCAGACCTCTCCTGCCGCTCGCTGCTCCCCTCAGCAGTGTACTTCGGTCCTTCTGCCTGCTCTGCTCCCTGCTTTGGCTCTGGTGAATTCTCTCACCCTCCCATGCTTCTGACTGTACCCAGTATTTGTATAAATAAATAAATAAATAAATAAATAAAATCTTAAAAAAAAAAAAGGGGATCTTAAATATTCATACCACAAAAAAGAAATGGCAATTAATGAGGTGATGGAGGTAAGCTATGGTATTAATCATTTTGTAGTATCTGAGAATATCAAGTTAACATGTTTTATAGTTGAAACTTGCACATGGTTAGCTGACAGTTATATTTCAAAAAAGCTAAAAGAGAAACCAGTTAGTATCAGTGCATACCATGGAGAAACTAAAGGGCAGGTGGAACATGTATATATAGCTACATAAAAGATATTTTTAAAAATCTAAATCAAACTACCTAAAGGTAAAAAGTATGTCTGAGTTGAAAAAGACACTGGATGGGATTACTAGTACATTATTCATTATACCAAGAAAAATTAGTGAACTTGGAAATACAATAATAAATATTACCTAAAATGAAACAGAGAGAAAACTGGTATAAGAGTTAATAGCATTAGTGAGCTGTGGGGGTGACTTCATATAAATTTGTTACTGAAATCTGAATCTATGTAAAGGAATGAAGGATATTAGAAATGGTAACTACATGGATAAACATAAAGCCCTGGATAAATTAAATTCTTTTTAAAAATAATAATGAGCAGTTTAAAGCAGAAATGTATTGTGGGTTTATAACATGTCACAGTAAAATGTATGAGGCGAAATGGAAATGTTCTGAATGAGAAGTAAAAACATAACATTTGGGAAGGCAGAAATAAAGTCGTATTCATGGATGATGTGGTTGTTCATATGAAAAATGCAAAGAACTAAAGATAAACCTTTAGAATTAGTAATGAATTTAGCAAGATCAAGACCGGTGTTTCATTTTAGAAAGCAGTTTTATTTCTGAATAATAGCATAGACAATTAAAAGGTAAAAAAACAACACTTTAATGTTAGCATTTTACCTAGGATTAAACAAAAGATGAACTCTACCTAGAAAATCAGAAAAATTTCTGAGTAAAAGAGACACGAGTATACAATTTTCATAGAGAAAATAATTGTAAAGAAGTTAGTTTTTCCTATGTTGGTTTACAGATTTAAATTGATCCCAATCAAAATTCCAGGATGCTCTTTTGGGATGAGGGGAGGAGAAAATGACAAGCTGATTTTAAAATATAAATGGGAATCCAATTGGCAAACAGTATTTGAAGAAAATATTGAAGAAAAGAGAGAAGATTTATACTTCCAATTATCAGTAATTGATAATTAGGGAACAGAATTCAGTGATGTCTTTGAATAAATGGGACTGGACCAATGGAAAAATCAGATTTTCCATTTACAAAAATCAATTCCAGAAGGACCTGAGACATAAATATAAGTGATGAAACAAAGTACTCAACTGGATGAAAAAGAATAAAATGATTTTAAAAAATAGAAAAAAGGAAATAATAAAGATTAAGTACAGGCATTAATGCAATAGGAAACAAAGCATTGTGTAATCATTTAGCTAAATTTCCTGCCAGAGGACAGAAAAGATATACATTGCATGATTCCATTTAAACTCTGTTCAAAAATAGAAAACTAATCAATATTGGTAGAAAACTGTATAGTGGTTACTTGGGACAATAGACAGAAACGATAATTACTAACTGGTGAATGGTGATTGGGAAAGTTCTTGAACAGGCCTACTGGAGTAATAATAATATTCTATACCAGTGGGTCTGTGGTGTGTGGATACCTGGGTAACCAAGACCCTTTTAGGGTTAATGAGGTCGAAATATTTTTATGATAATAACTATAATATCTTTTCTTTTGTATTTTCACTGATGCTGCAAAAGCAACAGTATGTAAACTGTACAAATCCAGGCAGTAACAGCTAAGTGTACTAGTAGTCATTATATTCTTCACTGCTACATACCCTTTAGATTAAAGAAGGTAATCAGTTTTATTTAAGAAAATCCTCGGTGAAGCAGGAAAAATAGTTTTATTATTGAGTATACATCTTTGTAATATTCTGTATGATGAAGTGAGAAGTATGCATAAAACCATTTTAAATTGCATACCAAAATAGAGTTGTTGCTTCAAGGAACATTTATAGAATTGTTTGAGTTATGTGATTGGGTTGAACTAGCTGCCTTGTTCATGGATCATTGTTTTTACTTGATAGAACAACATTAATGATTATTCATAGTTGGATATTTGGCAGATTAATTTTCTTTAAAATGAGCAAAAGTGAGTGCCACTACAAGGGTCACGGATGATTAGTACCTCTTGCCAATGATAAAGTTTAAACTTTTAAGCCAAAAACAATTTGGAAAACATCTACTATCTACTACAGTGAGTCTTGATAGTTTCTCAGTCTTCAAGGACTTTAAAGATTCTCTAATAAAATTAATGGTGGTGTTAGCAAGTGTGATATTTTGGTGTTATATAATAAAATGTACCACTACTTGGAAGATCTCTATAACTTGGAGATCAGTGTTTTCCAAATGACCAGTACCTAATGTTATAAAATCATACTTGGTTAAGTGATTCATTTAAAGTACAAGGTAAAATAGCGGGCTTTAGTTTAGTGACTTACAGTTTCAGATTCTATTTTGCAACTAATCTTTAAAAAAATTGTCACTTGTCAGGTGTTGGTACAGTATCAAAGAAGGCTTTCCACAATTATCTGAAAAGTCTAAAATATTCTTCGCTTTCCATTTCCATCCATCTATGTATGTATGTGTCTGTCTGTCTATGAGTGATAGGTTTTCTTTCTGTACTTGCACCTAAACAGCCTATTGCAGGAGATTAAATGCAGAAGCAGATGTGAGAACTTAGCTGTTTCCTCTTAAGCCAGTCATTGAGGTTTACAAAAATGTAAAGGAATGGCACTCTTCTAATTTTAGTTATTTATTGGAAGAATTTTTTTATATTAACACATAGTTGATGTGTGATTATTTAAAATTGATTAATTTTTAAATATTTTGGAGTTTTTAATTCTGCTTTGCCAATTATTGATAGACACATCACCATAAACAGAAACTTCACTCCTCAGTTTGTTAGACCTGTAAAAGAGTTCTGAGACCAAAGTTTGAGAACTGCTGTTTTATGCTTTGATCTGGGTGGTAATTGCATGGATAAACCTATATTAAATAATTTGTGCATTTGTGTAAACTAATAATAGTCTCTGTATATTTTAATAGAAATGTTTATCCTTCCAAATAAAATAAGCTATAAAGATTTGTCCAAGATAATGGAAGGTATTTCTGACTTTATTGATAGGTAACTGAGCACAGACAGAAGAGAATGAACACCTAGGAAAATGACCATAGGCTACATATGATTTGTTGATATTGTTTGTTTTATAGGTTTTTTTTTTAATTATTTCTAGGAGGCTCTAAGGTTGTATGTGTGTATATTCAATTTACAATGGAAGTATTTACCAGTTAAATATTTGTCGGAGGTTTCTTTATTTCCTGCTCTTACACTCTTCTGCCTTACAAATGTTTCCTAGACGCATAAAGGCTCTTAACTGATGTGAATGCGGGACAGTTTCGTTTTGCCTTTAATATAAAGGCATATGCTTAATTTTCCACATATTCAGCCTTTTTTGGCAAATGTTTGTAAGCATTGAGTAGAGAAAGATAGTGATAGTTCATTTGGTTACTAATTCAACAAATATTTATTTACATTGTTATTTATTTTTGTACAGTAGGTGATTTCTCTGCTAGTGTGTAGTCCCCCTAAATCTTCCACCACCTGTGAACCATCATCATAGTCCATTGTGCTTTTCCCATCCTTATTTTGACCCATCTCTCTTCCCCTCCCCTTTTGTAAGCCTCAGATCTATAGTTCAGTTGCAAATTTTGGTGCGTGCTCTTTTTTTTTTTTTGGACCCTATTTTTTTTGGATTCCCTGTATTCCTCCTATAAGTAAAACCAACTGATATTTTTCTTTATCCTTCTGACTTATTTCACTGAGCATAATCCCTTCTAGCTCCATCTTTGTTTCAGCAAATACTTGTTATTAATTGTATACTAAGCAGAAAGCACTATGCTGTTTATGATTACTTATTAAAGACTTTAGTTGTTAATAGACTAGTAGTGGTAAAAATAAGTTAGATCTTAATGCCAAATATATATGCAAGTAGGAATAGAGAGAAAGGCAGTCAGAGTAGCATCTGATTAGAACCTTGAAGAAAAGTTAGTTTTCTGCTTTAAAAATACCTTTTTTTAGTTTCTGATTTAAAATTATTATGCTTATTATAAAGTCAAACATTGTAAAAATACATACTACCAGTGATATGTCTTTGAGAATACCAAGCCCTGCCAGTTTAAGTAAAAATAAATTTGCATTGTTTAGAAATACTTAGCAATAAAAATCTACTGTAATCCCCTCATTAAATGTTGATGAACTAATTATGCTTGTTAGTAAGCTGAATTTAAGTACATCTAGACAGAATATGTTGTTTAGTTTGAGAGTAAATTATTTCATGGTGAACATGGAATTAATGATGAAATTAGGGTGAGTTAAGCACCAAAGGAAAGACCATTTGTCTTTCTACCATATACCGCCGTAGTTGCATTTTTTTGTAGAGTTGCTTCAATAGTACTCCTCATAGTGGGCACTACTTATTCAAATGTTTCTCTTTTCATTCTAGGTAACATTATATAACACTGATCAGGATGGTAGTGACAGCCCACGTAGTAGCCTTAACAACAGTCTTTCGGACCAGAGTTTGGCATCTGTTAATTTAAACAGTGTTGGAAGTGTACATAGTTATACGCCGGTAAGTTGTGGTGATGTTAACTTCTTTGTTGAGTGTTCACCTAGTACTTAAAACCTAAACCAAACATAATTGGAATGAAAATAAAAGATGAAGCTGTCTATTTCTCACTAATTCATTAACTTGAATAAGTAGAACAGATGTCTACTTCGGTAGTATTTTTATGATGTTAATTTTTCTTTAATCAAATCTTATTGAGTTGGCATTTGTTTATATAGTGGTATAATTTTGGGAGTACCTGATAGTGTTTTAATTGGGTGTTCATATTTTACCAAATTAGGTACAAATATATTTTGTTACATATTTTGTTCTCCTTTACTCCATCTGTGCAATTGGAAAAGGAAAAATAAAAAGTACTTTAGTCTAATTCTATATTTGATGATATTTTACAGTCCTTGGTAAAAAAGCTCCAAGGATGTGTGTGTCAACTTATTTTCCTGCTATAGACTTGAGAAGAGTAGTCTACAAACCGCTAAAGTTAGGATAACCTTGTACCCAATTGTTAACTAGTCTTGTAGTTTCAGTTTTGGTCTGGAAAACAAAACTGTTTTATAAAGGTACCTGCGTGTGACTATTCTTGCTCCTGTGCTAATTTTGTTATTTATTATAAGAACATCAGCCTTGGGTTATCTGATACTTCTTTTCAAATCGTCTGGCAACCATCTCTGTCAGTAGACAGAGAACAGAGCCCAAGATCCATATATGACACTGTTCATTGGTATAAATTTGATCTCCTGAGATCACTTCCTGTTCTTGAATACGTAAACAAGTAAAATTTTTCACAGGTCAAAGATAACGAAAGGGGGGAGTGGGAATAAAAGAAGAAAATAACATAAGGAAAACAAAAACTTAGAGACCAGAATAAAAAATCACATTGTAGGAAAAAAGAAAGGTAACAGCGAAACTCTTACCAGTATTCTGAGGGGGGGGAAATTAAAATATTCTCCCAGAATGCAGAAGAAACAGATAAAGGAATCAAAAATATGTAAAAGAAGGTGCTAGACATGGAGAATTCAGAGTTCTATGTATTTCTGAAGAAGAAAGTAGAGTAGTTGGTATAGGGGCAGTTTCTAGAGGAAATAAAGATTAAAGGAGTTACTGAGTTTTAGGGAAGTTAATAGGAGAAAACTTGTTTTTAGATATATCATGGCAGTTTTGTTTTTTTTTTAAAGATTTATTTTTTGGGTCTTCCCGGTGGCGCAGCGGTTGAGCGCTGTGTTGCGAAGCTGCCCGCAGCTTCTGCAACACTGGTTCAATCCCTGGCCACCGGGTTAAGGCGCGCAGACGTCTCCTGCCGCCCGCTGCTCCCCTCAGCAGTGTACTTCATCAGTCTGCCTGCTCTGCTCTCTGCTCTGCCTCTGGTGAATTTTCTCACCCTCCTGCACTTCTGACTGTACCCAGTGCTTGTATAAATAAATAAAAATAAAATCTTAAAAAAAATTTATTTATTTATACAAGCACTGGGTACAGTCAGAAGCACAGGAGGGTGAGAGAATTCACCAGAGCTAGAGCGGGGAACAGAACAGGCAGACTGACGAAATACACTCTCCCAGAGGCTGGGGATCGAACCAGTGCTGCAGAGGCTACGGGCAGCTTCACAGCCCAGCGCTCAACTGCTGCGCCACCAGAGGAGGCCCTATCATGGCAGTTTTGAAAAAATCGTAAGCAATTACCCATGTAAATACTTTGGCAGAAGAAGATACATTCAAAGAGATACAAATCACTCTTCTCTTCTATAGTATTAAATGTCAAAAGATAATGGATTAATACTTTATGCAGATATTTGAGGGAACAGCTTTGGGATTACAAACAGTCAAATTTTCATTCATATATGAGGTCAATAGAATGACATTCTTTGATATTCAGAACTTAGAAAGTATCCTACCCTTGTTTTCATGTACTTTTCCTGAAAAAAATTGATAAAAAGTGCTGGGTAAGAATGACATTATGATAAAGAACTAGTTGTAGCATCGAAACAAGCTAAGCAAAGGGCTAATGATTTAAATTTCTTTCAAAATAATTTGAATGTAGAAAATTTCTAAGCCAAAATAAATAAAAATATAATGAGGAAAAATTCAAGCAGGACATTTAGAACTAGGTAACAGACATAAGAACAACTATCCATTATACTAGTAAATGTAAGAGGGTTAAACTCCCCTGTTAAAAGCTAGATATTTTAGACAGCTTTTTTTTTAATTTAAAAAATAAGATACCAAGTAGTCATAAAGTACATCATCACCTGTTTTTGTACTTGTGACATATACACAAATTGAGCCTTTAAGGACACAGTGAGCTCTAATGTATTGAGGCAGATTTATTACTTCAGATAGAAGTCAGATGAGGATGGTGTCAGCTTCCCTCACCCCACGGTACTTCACCAGACCTGAGGAACCAAATGACAAGACTACATATGTGCTTGGGTCTCTGTAGCTGGGAAGTGTTACACTCCACCCTGCCGCTCAGCAGCTGTGTAACCCGTACCGTAAGGGAGGGAGTGAGGTAGCAGTCCTGTGCTTCTCTGGAGATTGGCAGGTGAGAAACTGTCTCTCGGAAACTTCAGCAAGATAGATAGGTGAATGAGAAACTGCCGCGTAACTGCCTCCTCCTACAAGAAAGGAATGCAGTTGAGAAGTGGTGAATGTGAATTTGCTATTCATAAAACCACTGATCATCCCTTGCTGCAAGACAGTGTTCTACTGAGGTATACATCATCCTGCCATTGAGACTTGTCTGCGTGGCCTACGTAGAGATATGTAAGGTTGCCATAGTGCCAATGGTGGAGAGCATTTCCCCACAGAAAATTTGTGTTTTTCCATGTTATTGCAGATTCCTTGTGAGCGTCATTTTGAATGGTTGCATAAGTTTACAGTGAGTGTTCATATCTTGATTTTTCAAAACACCACATGGTTGTTTACCACCTCTTGATTTAATCTTCAAGAAATACAACTGGTCATTTTTTATTAATTTCTAGTTATGCTGCCTTCAAAGATAATTCTTGTATTTTAGGAGTTATGCACTTTTTTTTCCCTGCATAGCTTAGGCTCCAGATTTATTCTGGTTTTCTCAGAAACTCTGTTGGCCTTTTTTTTTTTTTTTTTTTTTTAAAGATTTATTTATTTTATACAAGAACCAGGGAACAGGCCAGATGCGTGGGAGGGTGAGAGGTTTCACCAGAGACAGAGTGGGGAACAGAACAGGCAGACTGACAAAGTACATTGCTGAGGGGAGCAGAAGGCATGACAGGAGAGGTCTGCTGTGCCATGTGGGACCCTCACCAGCCTGCTGGGATCGAACCAGCGCTACAGAGACTGCGGACAGCTTCACAGCGCGGCACTCAAGCTCTTGGGCCACCAGGGGAGGTCCTCCGTTGGTCTTTTGATCTTCATCTTTCATTTCCTCATAGTTTTCAGTAAAAAAATCATGAGAAATGAAGAGTTAGATGTATTGAAATAAGTTGCTGCTTTGGGTAGTACCATGCAACTACAGTATTTGGGTTTAAATACTGAAAGAGTAATTGAATAAATGAATGAGAAATATTAGTAGCTTTGCAGTATAGTAGAATTTGAGATGAAATTGCTTCTGAAGAAATCAGTATGAAGATTCTATAGAAACTGAAAGGATCCAGGTCTTGCATAACACTTTATAAGATTTTTGAGCAAACAAGTCATTTAAATGCATTGAACTCTCTCCCCTCATCTTCGAATTGTAGAGGTTAGATTAGACTTCTCTGGTTCTTCAAGATCCAAATTAATAATTTTGTAGTCTATTCTGTATGTGTACCCAACCTAACAGGATGGGAAAGCCAAAGACAGGGAAGTTTATTTCCTTTGGATTCTTTAACTTGTTAGAATATTTTTAGTTACATATTTTCTGTAATGAACCTATTCTGAGAAGGAGCGACTAAAATTGATAATATCTTCTTTCAATATTAGGTGACAAACCATCCAGAACCTGTTTCGCAGTCATTAACGCCACAACAGCAGGCACAGTACAACCTCCCAGAACGAGACAAACAGCTACTTTTCTCAGAATATAATTTTGAAGATCTCAGTGCCTCATTTCGAAGCCTTTACAAGTCAGTTTTTGAGCAGTCACTTAGTCAACAAGGTAAGTTTGTGTTTTTTAAAGTACTTTTTTGTAAATTTTCATTGAAAACTTTTTTAAGAATTGTTTTCACATAGCAGCTGTTTCCTTACTTTTAGAACATTAGTAGGGTTATGATCGGGATTAAATTCTCATTTATGCTTTTGTATCTTTACTATATTCTATATATATTTACATCATAGCACAAGGATGGCAGGTAAATTTCATCTCCTACGCTTGCTTCTCTTTGGTTGCTGGTGGTGTCTTGAAGAATTTTGACATTGCAGCTGTGCCATATGGAAGATCGCCATAGTTAATTACTGGTGTTGGGCTCGTGAAGTGTTTGAGTGGTAAATATTGTACCACAAGAATGGATGTACTCCTTTCTTTTCTGACTAGTATTAGCAAATTGCTAACTATTGGAACATGTAGCAACAAATTTGCAATTTCACATGTGGCTCATAGATGAACACATTAGCTCCTAGATGAACACATTAGTAGTTAGCTTTGGGTCATTGTCTTTTTTACAGTATGCTTAAATCAGATTTTAACATTAAAGGTGATTTTGGATAAGATTTTTTTTTTTTAAGATTTATTTATTTATGCATACAAGAGCTGGGATATAGGCCAGAATTGCAGGGTGGGTGGGATGGGGTGGTGGTGTGTGTGAGAGGATTCAGCAGAGACAGAGTGGGGAACAAAACAGGCAGACTGACTGAAATACACTGCTGAGGGGAGCAGCGGGCGAGACAGGAGAGGTCTGCTTCGCCATGTGGGTTGCTCCCTAGAGGGCTGGGGATAGAACTCGTGCTGCAGAGGTTGCGGATTGCCTCATAGTGCCGTGCCTAACTCCTTGCGACACCAGGGAGGCCCCCATAAGATGCATTATTAAGTGTTAGCCAAATGCTACATTATTGCAGTCATGTGTTCCACTAGCTACTGGTTTAATTTTAGGTAGTATCAAGATGTTATATCCCCTTTCCTTTATGGAACACTAGTTGGAAATTGCTGGGAACTCTAGTATTGAAACTTTTCCTTCTTTGTTTGGCAGATTAACTGTTCATCCTCTCATTCAGAGCGCTTACCTGTTCATGACAGTGAACAAAAAATAGACATCCTTGTCTCTATAGAGTCTACATTTTAATGCTTATCATTGTGAGATACTGTGAAAGTTGATGGTAGTATTTATGTGTTGTATATATTAATATCAGTGGTTTACATAGGGCATTGATTTATCTGATTATTATCTTTCTGTCTCTAAAAAGTACAGAAAAAACTAATAGAAGACTTGACTAAGTAGATTCAACCTTGGTGATCATAATGGAAAAATAATGACTTGGAAATAATAGTGGCAACAGTTTCTGATGCCCATAATGTTATTTTTATTATACTAATAAAACTAAAAGAAAAAGAAAAGGTCATTCATAGGTATTCTGGGTCTAGCCCATGGAATACCATAGAGTGAACTAAGTTAACTGCATCTATCAGTACCTCAGCATCCCTATTTGTATAATTAAGACAATTAGACTGATTGTTCACTCACTTTGGAGTCCTTGACTTTTGTGAAGGTCTGTGGAAGGAGGCATTTGCACATGAAGATTTAGCAGATGTCCTTTCATGGTTTCAAGAAACAACTTTAGGTTTATTGTTTTTGTAGATTGTGCTTCTGAAAGGTATTTTGTTTTATTTAAAAATAATTTGGTATTGAAAGTTTTGATAGAGATCATATTTGGGTTCCCTCTTAATATGCTAGGAGTATTGGCAGTAGATAATGAAATAACTGCTTTCTTTCATCTTGCTGTAATAACCGTTTTATTCCCTAGAAATGACAATTTTCCAGGGCCAAGGCAAGAAATTTTATTAATTTTTCTGCCTATAACATCTTTACTTACTAGATTTTTTTTAAAGATTTATTTATTCATGCATACAAGCACTGGGGTATAGATCAGAGGTGCAGAGGGTGAGGGGATGTGGAACAGGCAGATTGACTGAAATACACTGCTGAGGAGAGCAGCGGGTGAGACAGAAGAGGTCTGCTGCTTCATGTGGGTCACCTCCCTGGCCAGCGGGGGGGATCGAACTCTTGCTGCAGTGGCTGGCAATAGCTTGATAGCGCTGTCTTTAACCCCTGCACCACCAGGGAGGCCCGTTTACTTACTAGATTTTAAGATTATCTTACAATGTACCCATAACAGTTTTACTATTAGTGAAAGCATGAGAATAATTTTATTTCTGTTTAAAAGTTGATTATTTTGTAGTTGACACTATGCTGCGAAATTTTAATTTTCATTAATATAACTTTTGTGTTTGGTTCAGAAAAACACTGTACGAGTTATCCTTTAAGATATGAAAATAGCCTAGTTATATAGAACCAAATGTTGCAATAAGATTTATTAAAATGAGTGTTTACTTGCAAACCAAACATACATTATTTTTAACATTAGGCACTTCTGGCCTAATCATCATCATCATCATAGCAGCTAATATTTACTGAGCTCATCCTGCAGCCTGCACTTGTACCATGGCATTTAATCCTCACAACAACTCTATGAAGTAGGTACTTTATCATACCCATTTATAGTTGAGGTAATTGTGGCTTGGAGAGGTTAATAACTTTCTGAGGTTAATAACTTTCTGAGGTTACCAAGTGTGTAAATGGCAATGCAGAGATTTTAATCTCTACTTTCTGGTGCTATGAAATGTGTGCTCTAAACTCCTAAGCTGTGTCTATCTTAAGATTGTGTCATGAGAGTAGTGAAAAAGAACAGCAGAGATGGCTATCTTGCTTTTTGTAGTCTTAGGGCTTCTAGCCATGTTGAATGTCATTTCTTCCCTCTCCTGTCAAAATCTTGGTCATCAGGCCTCAGAGAACCATCTGAATGTCACCCAACACCTTTCCCACTTTTCCCACTTTTACAGCATCATTCAACACCCTTTTTTACAGCCTTTTCAAGGAAGCCTTTTCTGTCTGTAGCAAGGGTCATTCCTAGGTAAACAGGCAAGAAGCATCCCCTTTGTATATATTTGCTTTAGTATTTTCATTATTGAACATCATCTCCTCAAGTGTCTGCCTCTCCTACTAGTTCATGAGCTAGTTGAAGCAGGGAATGATCGTTCTTACACTTGCCAGTAACCCCAGAGTCCAGTGTACAGTGGATGTTCCATCAGTATTTGTTAAAGTAGACCAAAGTTATTTTCTGGCAACATAAACCTTTGCTTTGTAAATAATTTTGCAAATGTTTGTCATAAAATAGTTTAAATCTGACTACAAATGATTTTGTTCTCTGTTTTTAGGTTTGATGAACATCCCTTCTGAATCTTCCCAGCAGTCCCACACTTCCTGTTCCTATCAGCACTCTCCTAGTAGCACAGTGAGCTCTCACCCACACAGCAACCAAAGCAATCTGTCCAACAGTCATGGCAGTGGCCTCAATACCACGGGCAGTAATTCAGTTGCACAAGTCTCGCTGTCCCACCCCCAGATGCACGCTCAGCCGTCTCCACATCCGCCCCATCGACCACATGGTTTAACACAGCATTCGCAGCGTCCCCAGCACTCAGCGCCGCATCCGCAGCCACACAGCCAGCTCCAGTCCCCACACCCCCAGCATCCCTCTCCACATCAACACATACAGCACCATCCAAACCATCAGCATCAGACGTTAGCACATCAGCCGCCCCCACCACCACAGCAGGTATCCTGTAATTCTGGTAAGTTTGTGTCTCCTGACTTGTGTTTGGCTAACTGTGAATTAGGCATCTGTCCTCTGTTAACTGGGTTTATACATATATACTCATACCAAAACCCTTCTCATCTGTATCATTTTGTGTTTGCTTACTATAATAACCCTAGAGTTGTAAATCGTTCAATCTACAGATTGACCTGGAAATTTTCTTGATTAAGATTTATTGTGGTAAGACAGGCAGAATCAACAACTGGTGCAGGTTTTGGTTTTAATTCTTGTTTCACCTTTTTAGAAAGCAAATATTTTGTGAGCATTTAGAAGACAGAAATGCACAGTCTGTAATCAACTGTGACTTTGTGATTATTGAAGAAAGAAAAGTGGAACTAAAATACTTTACACAGTGTTGTTAGGAGGATTACATTGGGAATACAAATAGGAATGCCTGATCTCGTACCTTCATTTAAGTATTTAGTGAATGTTCCCAGTCTTCTTCCTTTGCTTATTCCCGCCAAGTATCTTATCTTAGGATGATAAATTGCACAGGACAAAATATTCTTTATACCTGAATCAAAAAAAAAAAATACTGCTTTTAAGTTAGGTGGTTTCTGGTGAGGTGTTTAACTGACATTGCTTACACACCAGAGAGCATAGACTAGGTGAATGGGACTCTTTGGAGTTGTGTACAGGTTCTTCCCTTACCGTGCCCATCTGTACATTTACCAACCACTAGTAAGATTTTTATCCTGGAAGTACAATTTCTAAATGTTTAGCAGTGTTGGTTCTTATTCACCAATTAAAATTGCTCATTGTCTTCCCTAAGTGTATATTTCAAACTTTATTCAAGATTCATAGTATTTTCAATATTATTTTGGTAGGTGTTTCAAATGACTGGTATGCAACACTTGATATGCTAAAAGAAAGCTGTCGAATTGCCAGCAGTGTTAATTGGTCAGATGTAGATCTTTCACAATTCCAAGGTGAGTATTGGTTCCTTTTGTCATAGAACCAAATGTGTAGGATTCTGTTTTCCCTATTAGATTCGTCTTTGTAGTAGAAATAAGCATTACTTTATATGCAGTTGGTGGTATGCTTAAAAACAATACTTTGCAAAATTCATAAGTAAACTGTTGCCAGTTGATCTAGCAGAGTCACAGAGAAAAGTTCTTAGATAACACACATTATATACCTTAAAAACATACAGTATTGTAAACCATTACTTCAGTAAACATAATGTAAAAAATATTACAGTTACTATTTTATATCTGCATCTTTGAAAACATGTTTGAATAAATAGAGCTGTTGATTAGATTTCTAGAAGTGAAGTTTTTGGATGAGAAGGTATATGCATTCATTATCTAGATATCAGTATTGCCAAGTTGTGTTTAAAGAGGTTGTACTGGGGTCTCCCTAATGGCCTAGGGGTTAAAGTCTCAGTGCTATCACGGGGACGACCCACTGCGATGGCCTGAGTTCAGTCCCCACCGAGGAGCTAACCCACATATAGTACAGCAGACCTCTCCTGTATTGCTCGCTGCTCCCCATAGCAGTGCCTTTTCGCCTGCTCTGCTCCCCACTGTGTGTCTGGTAAATCCTCTCATCCCTGCACCTCTGACCTACACCCCAGTTCTTCTACATAAAAATAAACAAAATCTTTTTTAAAAAAAAAAGAGGTTGTGCCATTTGCATCCCTACTAGCAATGTATGAAATCAGCTGTTGAACCAAAGCCTTTGCAAAATAGAATGGTGTTAGACTTTTGGAACATTGCCAATCTAGAAAGTGAAAACTTTTACCCTTGGTTATAATGTCCATTTGTCTTATTATGGGTAACAGTTGACAAATATTTTAATATGTCTAAAAGGCATTTGTATTTTTTTTGTGTGTGTGTGTATTTTTCTATTAACACACCATTTGCCTATCTATTGAATTTTTGGTAGCTGCTGTTACTGATTTGTAAACATATATTAAGTAAATTAGTCTTAGTTTGCTGTCCTGTTAATATTAGTTCTTGTTTGTAGTTTGTCTTTTATCTTTCTTTACAAGTATTTTTATTTATGAATAAATTTTTTGTACTTTACACGAACAAATTTGTCAATAGCTTATGTTTCTAACTTTTGTGTTTTCTGTAGAAACACCTTCAATTTCAAGGTTGAATTAAAAATCATTTCATACTAAAAAAAAGGTTGTGAAAGAAATTTGACCACATTTAAAAGAATCAGGCATTTAATAATTTTAAAGCGTCATTCTTCATTGCATGGGCAAATCACAAGTAGAAATTTTGAGAACCGAAAATAAAAAATTGTCTTAGTACCTTTGCAATGTTTACAGAACTATACTAACTATTTTTAATGCTTTCCTCATAGGTTTGATGGAGAGTATGAGACAAGCAGATCTCAAGAACTGGTCTTTAGATCAGGTTCAATTTGCTGATCTTTGTTCTTCTCTTAATCAGTTCTTTACACAAACTGGCCTTATCCACTCACAGAGTAATGTTCAGCAAAATGTCTGTCATGGCACCATGCATCCAACAAAACCTTCCCAACACATTGGAACAGGTATGTACTTAATTATTTTCTTAATTTTCTTTTTTTCATTCATATGAAGTTCAGTAACTGAGGCAGGTGGCACATTTTTAATGGTGACAGCAGTCCATTTACATCTTTTTATTTCTAATAAGTGAACAAAATCAATTTATGTATTTAAGGGTGTATCATAGGAAAGTTGAGATAAAAAGACTTTTTTCTATCATGATTTATATGATTATTTTATCGTTTGTGGTTAACTTGTTATGTTTAACCATTAAATTACCAAACAAGAATTAAATGTCTTAAAGATACTTACACGTTCATAGGAACATAGTTATGATGTTATCAGTTTGAATTTGTATAGACTTATAATGCAAATCAACTTTTTTCCTATCTTGTAAAAATGGTTAAGCAAAATTAAAAGGTCACAGTTTTCTTGAAGAGTAAACATGATGGTTAAATAGCCCATTGATGTTTTTTAAACTCCAGACTTAAAATTTGTCTTCAGTATTTTTCATTTCATATTTTCTTTACTCTTTGTCCTTAGAACTGAACCATCTCTTCTGTTCTGAGTGCAGTGCCTGCATATTTGCTTTTCCCAACTTGCATTCTGTAGGCATTTAATATTCAAGTTCTTTCTCTCTGTTTTGTTATTTTGCCTTTTATCTCCAAATTGACTTTTTTGTATGCTACCTTGGTTTTAAGCTTGATGTTAAAAAATCTACTCTTACCTTGAGTGACTTCCTTTAGCCACTATCCTACTTTGCTTCACATGTTTGGTCTTCCCATGTTCTCAAAACCCCCAGTCAGGTGGCATTTTTTTTTTTTTTTCATGAAATCTGTCTTTTGATATATTCAGAATCTTTTATGTTTCTTCATTTTGAATAGCTTACTTAATTTGAAATCCTCAGTGGATGTTTGATTCTTAAAAGTTACTTATTCATTCCATAAATTTGTCAATACAGGCATCTCCTTTACTGTCTGCCACATAGGAACTATTTAAGTGTAAGCTAAATTTATTGACTGTCCTCTATGTGCCAGACATTAAGCTATTTTTTGATAACTGTTTAACTCTTTTGTCATTTCTGCTATTGGTATCTTCCTGATACATACTCTTTAAAATTTTTTTTCAGTGATGTTAGTAAATATGTAACATGAAAGTCCTATTTGTAATCATCCTGTAGTGTACAATTTAGTAGCATTAAATGCGTTCATAATTTTATGCAACAAACACTACTATTCATCCCCATAACTCTTTTACTCTTAAAAAATAAATGTGCTGTATTCATTAAACAATACCCCTCATTCCATCCCCTGCCCTCCCAAACCCTTGTGTCTCTTGATTTTTGACTACTCTAAGTTCTCCACATATGTGTTTATCTTTGTGACTGACGTCACCTGGCATAATGTCTTCAATGTTCATCCATGTTGTAGCATGTTAGAATTTCCTTTTTAAGGGTGAATAATATACCATTTTATGTATATACCCTATTTTGCTTATCCATTCATCTGTGGATGAACATGGGTTGCTTCCTTGTTTTAGCTCTTATGAATGTTGCTATGAACTTGGAATTATAAACACCTGCATTCAGTTCGTGTGGCTATATACTTAAAAGTGAAATTGCTAGATCATAAAAAATACTATGCTTAATTTTCTGAGGACCCATCATACTGCTTTCCACAGCAGCTGAACCATTTTCCATTCCAGCCTAACAGTTCACAGGGTTCCAGTTTCTCTGTCCTCACCAGCATGTTAATTTCCTCTTTTTTTTTTTTGTTTTAATAATACCTATCCCAATGAATGTGAAGTGGTATCTTATTGTCATTTTGATTTGTATTCCTAGTTGATTAGTGATGTTGGATATCTTTTCATCTGCTTAATCTGCTTACTTTAGTTGTAGATAACAATACTATTAAGATTTTAATGATTCATTTGTTTTACTTATGGTAACATGTCTTCTTTTTCTGACTAGGAAATTTGTACATAGACTCCAGGCAAAATCTCCCTCCTTCAGTGATGCCACCCCCTGGTTATCCTCATATCCCACAGGCACTTAGCACTCCAGGAGCAACGATTACAGGTAACTTGGGATGTGTATGTGTTGCATTTGGTACTTGAGTTTAATATTGAAAAGCTTTATGTTGTCCTAATAGTAAATGAGTCTGCCTCAGGAGGGAGTGAACTCCCTGTTCATACCTGGGGTATGAAGTCCGGGTAGCTGCTGGGCTTCATTGCTCGTTGAAAGGATTCAAATATTATTTGGCGTTTGGCCCGTATGACCTGAAGTTTCTCTTAGCCCACAGATTCTGTCATTTAAATTAATACCCTTCCTCTCTAAGTGGTCTAGGAGCATAGAACTTGTCCTAGAATCTTAGGTAATTTAGAGGCTTATTTGACTTCAACAGGACTTGGCAGGTGTCATAAACCTACTTTGGTTATTAGCTCATGTATACTTTGCTGTATTCTTTCTGATGAAGTTCCCTCTAGTGAATTTCCCTCCATACCTCAGATAGAGTTTCCAGGAAAGTGCATTCTAGAGGAGGCAAGTTTTAAGATACACTGGTTCATAAATTTTCCTCCTTGCTTTTAGAATATAGGATTGGTTGCATTTAGTAGGGCAGTAGAGGCACATTTTAGTGGTGGAAGAGGTCTTACGAATTATCTAGATGAGAAAACTGAGACTCAGAAGGAGAGAGAATTTACATAGAACCACCAGTTTAGTAAGTAGCCAAAGCAAGACTGAAGCCCTGATGTTATTATTTTTTCAAACCACCATTTACTTAGGCTTTTTGAAGATAAGATAAAAGGCAGTGTGAATTTAAAATCCAAAAAAAGAAAACAGATGTGTGCCAGGTAGCTTGAAGGAACATGTCCTTTGATGAAAAAGAAAGAGTGTTCTCCCTCCTCAGCACTAGTGACTTGGCAAAATATGGTAGTTAAAATGCTGGAGCCTGATTGCTAGGGTTTGAATCCTGGTGCTTTGCCACTTGATAGGAGGCCCTAGCCCTCCTGTCTCAGCTTTCTTGTCTGTGAAGGGGGCTAATAACACTACTAAGTCCTAGTATTAAGAGGATTAAGTGAGGATATATGTAAATCTCCTTAGTTTTAGCACCTGGCACATAGTAAGGAATTTGTAAGTTAAAAAAAAAAAAATACAGACATTGCTGCTATACTGTGATACACTAAAAATCTTACTAGCATTTTATAAATTACATATTATAAAATTACAGGACTTTTGAGAAAAATAAGATTGTCAACAGACTAGAAACTTTGTAGTATTAAGAAAAGCTATAATAATACAGTAAAGATTCCACAGTGGTAGAAGTATATGCCTATAAATTTCTGATAAAAGGAAGTATTTTACATGTAGGTATACTCATTCTTTATTGAAAAAAAGAAAAAAAATTAATATAGGAAGGGTGTTTGTTAAGGTATGGAGACAAAGACAGAATGTATCAAAACTGGCGATAGCCATATCAATCCAAGAGGAGGAACATGGGTGATGAGGCATCGTGCACTCCTGGGCTCCTCCATGGCTTACTGCACTCAGCTGTGTTGACGTTCTCTGTATTCACCTGCCGTTACTTGGTGGCACAAGAATGAACTTGCTGGAAAAATTCAGTCTCACCTCATGTGACTTCAGAGTTACACTGACATCATTCACCATTTACCATTGTCATGAGAGTCAATTCATGTTACTGAAACACATATTGAAGCAAAACAGACTATAAAAGAAAGGTTACGTCAGCATGTGGAAACTTGAGCACTCTTTATGTCCTTGCCTGGAGCCTGGTATAGTGAGAAAAGCCTTGGTTTTGGTGTCAAATATATGAGTTCAAATCCTTTGTCTTCCCCTTAGCTCATTGTATGACTTTTAGGTTGCTCATCGTCTTAAATCTGGGCCCCCTTACCTACATTGAGAGAATCTTAAGAATAGCTTTTGGGTAGATTAATAAGATAATGTGCAGTGGATGTCTGGCACATAGGAAATTACTCTATAGGCATTTCTTTGTTTCTCCTGTTCCTTGCTTACCCAAGTGATGTTGTCTCCTTTCTTCCAGGCCATCACGGAGCCATGAACCAGCAGCACATGATGCCTTCCCAAGCCTTCCAGATGCGGCGCTCCCTGCCTCCAGATGACATCCAGGATGACTTTGATTGGGATTCAATTGTGTAGAGCTTGTCAGTCTGCAAGGCACCAGACCCCAGTGTCACTTTCTCTGTAGTGAAGAGAAAGGTTCAAGGGAATCCAGTTGAGAAAGCAAAGTTGCTAATCACTTAACCAATGTTATCAGAATTTCTTTTGAAGACAATCAAAGATTTTAGCTGAATAACGTACTGCTTTTATCTGACCTAAACAAGTACTACATGTTTGTCTCCTTGCCAGCTGCCCTATGTAGCTCCTAATTGTTCTGTGATTTGAACGGCTTTTGCATATTTGTGTCAGTTTGATGTTGACCACAAGTGCCAGACTGATTTTTCAGGCAGAGCCTATTTTGCTGCAAGCAGTTTATAGATTCATATGTGTAAATATGTACAAAAATTACTGAAAGGTTTTTTTTCTCCCTAATTGGATTATTATGTCTTGAAAAGAAAGTTACTGTGAGTTTTTATTCCTTCTTAGGCTATTTTCTGCAGGATGCTTTCAACTGATGTAGGCAACTGAATGGAAATAGTTTTTCAAAACCCAGTTCCCCTTATTTAATCTTTTTCAGATTTGTGGCAATGAATTTGACTCAGTAAATTAAAGAACCCAAGAGTTTTTTAAAGAACCCAACAATTTGAAGGGGCAGGTTGTTCCTGAGCAGCATAAAGAACTGACCAAATTTGTTTTGATGTTTGGGGGATTATAGAATTTTTAATGTACCTTGTAACTGTCTCTTTTCCTATATCTGCATTACAACTCTAAAATGTATTTGATTGGTTAGAAGCTGGACATTGCTTGGCTCTACAAACAAATCAGTGCCTCCACATTCACATATGTATTTATTATTCAAAAGTGTTATTTTAATATTTATTGCTCCCTTCTGTGAATGCTCAGCTCCTATTGGGTTCATTGAGGAGAAATGCAGTGTCTGAAAGCACAGAATTATTTTTCTTGATAAGAGTTTACAGACAAGACAATCAGAGAGAGATTGTGTAATTCTTTTTATTGTCACTCCTTTTACCATGTGAGTATATTACTCTACCTTAGCATTCCTGCTGATTGAGGCATATTAACTAAACAGGATTTTTCTGGAATTTGAATCAGATCATTTGGGCAACAGGAGGGCAAGTTTCTTCATTTGCTTTCCATTTGGGTAGCCAGAATGGAAGGTAGAGCCACCCGTAGATTTTATTTGCCTCAGTCTTCAGTGCAATTATTGTTAGATTCCTGCTGTTTCTGTTGTCACGTGTGTCTGTATGCATGCCATTTGGCTGCTTTCTTTGAAATATAGCTTCGTCTTTGGGGGTTTTATTAGTTGCTATTTTATTTTGTTTCATATTATATCACAATTACTTTGCATGGATTGTCTCAGTTTTATAATAATAAAACTAAAAAGTGAGATTTATTTTTAATGAACAGATTTTGAATTGGTTCTTTAGTTTAAAAAAAAAAAAGGCAGAATTTTTTTCAGTTCTAATAGGGAATCCTATGTCCCATCAAAGCAACTGCCCACTGGTTGCTTTTTCGCATCTCTAGTCTCTGTCAGCCATGGTTCAATCACTTTAATCAACCTTAGTGATTCTGTGATTGAATAATCTCTACTTGAACTAAACAGACATCTTTGTTTCTCTGTGTGTATGTGAGAGTGTTTGAGAATGTGTGTGGGAATTTTTTTAATGGGGTGTTGCCTTGAATGAATCATTGGAAAGCCAACCATGGTTAAGGCTGGTGAGGTTGGGGAGAGAGAAAGGGCTTTATGTTCCTGTTGTTTGGACCCTGCTTGGCATGAAAAAGAAAGCTCACTTCCAACCCCTTGGATCAGTGCAAGTCAGAGGATTCTGGAAAGATAGTCACCAGGCACCCTTACATGGATCAGAGGCCAGATAAGATAGCAGCCTGCAGAGCAAAAACTTGAAAGAAAAGGGGTGATTTTCAAAAGTCTGCTCAAGTCACTGTTTTCTAGATACCAAAATAGCTGTTTTGAAGAAAAATTGCTTGGGTAACAGTGTGCACTTTAAACAGTTTGGGTATTGGAATGCAGTCTCCTATTGAGTGATTTGAGTAGAAACTACTAATGATGATTTTACACATTGTGTGAAGTAATTTCCCATTTGGCAATCATTTACTGATTTGCAGTAATCAATATTTTTATGAGAATTGAAACTTACCAGAATGGCCCTGGAGGCAGACTCTCCACCTAGATCCAGCCGCTCTTGTGATTCAGGTGGTCAGGAGCCTGGGACGGCCCTTCTCAGTAGGCTCTAGAGGGCGGGCTGCGGGCTGCGGTGTGGAGCATCCCTCCAGCAGCTGCTTCAGGTGCTAGTTGCTAATGCAGAGGAGGTTTTCTGTCTTGGGCTTAAATTGACTGAAGACTTGGGGGAAAAAATAATGCATATAATCAAACGGGGCAGCATATAATCAAACAGGGGCACTCTGTCCAGGAGAATAATCCGACTGGCATTTGTGGCTGTTTTTGAAATGTAAATGTATTCATGTGTGTTCTTGTAAATACGTGTCTCTCAGATGTCCTTTGAGTGGGAGGGAATAATCTGGGGATTATTTCAAATGGAATAGAGTATTTTGATATTGTTCATTCAGAGGGTGATGTGTACATATCTATATTGTATATATGTGATGAAAATGCATTGGCTTTTTGTGCACACACAATCTGCTCTCTGTACTGCTGTTGGACAGTCAGTGTTTTAATGTTTCTACGGTTTTGCTATTGCACGATTTCATATTTTGCCTCTATGATGAACGGCACCCATTCTTTGTAACTGTTAGTGCTGTAAAGAAATATTCCAAGTGTCATTAGGATTGTTGCTGCCAGAACTGATATGCATGAATGGCACTTAAAATAAATACATTATGGTAAGTCCATTTACAACACCTACTGGTCTGTGTTATTTGCTACAATTGAGGAAATAAGATCGGTGCTAGTTCAGTTGTAGAAACCCCACAATCAGTCCTCGGGGTCTCAGAGTGTGTCCTATGTATCACTGCCTTAAAACAGTAATTGCTGCATGTCCATAGCTCTGTGAACTCGGGGAATTAATTTTTCTGAGAGTCATTTTCCTCATTTACAGTGTCTATGAAATGAAGACAATAATAGCTACTTCCTGCAGTTGTGGTGGGCTTAAATTAATTAATGCAGCAAGACATTTAGGACAGTGCCTGGGACATAGTCCGGAAAGTACTCACTACGTAACACGTGGTGTGCCGAGCAGATGCTGCTGTCCTTACCTCACAGCTGTAAGGATTCAGTGTTTTGGCTTACCCGGATCATTGGTTGGCAAGTGGTAGTCCGTGTCATTTTGACTCCAATATCATCTTTTTACACCATCCTCTTCAAGGGAATTCTGTTCTTGCTCCCTGCACTGCCTTTCCAGAGAGATTTCCTAAAGGTGAAAGTGGAGCATGTAAACATGCTGCGCGCACCCTGTATCAAACCTTTCCATGAGAAATCTAGCCTTTCTGCCTGTAGGCGGTGCAGACCTGGTCTGGATAGAAAGCAACTGCCAGCCCCGGGAGGCTGCTCTGAAGCTGCCCCCTTTCAAGGCAAGATCCTGATGGGGAGAGTGAGGTTGTGTGAGGGCTGGGGAAGTGGTGTAGGAAAGCCCAGGGTGGGCAGAGGCTATTGAAGTCGAGTCTTCGGGGGTCTTAGACAACGGAACAAGGTGTTTCCATTTACCACTCTCTGGTTACACCGGAAGCTTGATTAGCAAGGGCGGGAAGGTGGGGGATTGAAGCGGGAGAAGTAACTGGTTGCTAGGAAAAGAACTGAGCACAGGGCTCCTATGTGAGAAATAGTAATGCCCGACTGACTGGACTGAGGGAGAAACAGCTTCAGAAGGGGGAGGCAGCAGGGAGCCCAGCAACACTGGCGGGAGTGACTTTAAAGCTGCAGTCTCTCAAGGGGAGGCTTCCCACCAATCCCACCTGCCAGAGGCTTCTCCCTCCTAAACACGTTTCCAGGAAGGCAATTTATTGCAGCTTTACACAAGGGGAAATTGAGGCACAAAGATTAATGTCTCTAAATTCTCACAGCTAGTAGAGGATCCCCAGATAATTCATTCTGGGCCTCACCCTAAGTCTCACTTGCTTTTACTCCACTGCCTGGAATTCCAAAAAGGGCTTCTACCAAAGCCATTGGCAGTGCCTACCCAACTTGTGTGTGTGAGCCCATCTGTCCCTTACTCATCTGTCCCAGGACTCAGCCTTACTCCCATCACAGGTATAATTTGGTCATCAGCAGTGCCTCAGAAGGACTGTCTTAGGGGATAGGCTTACATCTGCTCACTTTATGCTGATTAGGGAGCAGATGAAGGGTACCTTTGTGCTAATCAAATGAAAAAAGATGAGATCTTTAAGACCTGTAAAATGGTGTCTACTGTACCTCTGCATGAGATCTCACCACTGAGGTGGTTCTAGTGGATAAAGACACGTATTCCGTCCAGTGTTGCCCTGGGATGCGAGCCAGCTACTTCAAAGAAGGTAACCAACCTAGAAAACTGGCCAGGTTGGGCTTATGAGACAAGGTGTTTTTTCCCGTTACGGTGCCTTCCTGAAGGATTTCGAAGAATGCTGTCAAACTCATCAGCCCTTGCCTCTCCATGTCATCATGCGACGAGTTGACTGGTGCAAAGCCCAAACTAGGTTAAGTGGCACCAGGACCAGAATTCACCTGCAGGTAACGACCGTCTCTGGCTTCCCACTCACGTGGTGCCCCTGAGCAGTGCCGAGCCCAGAAATAGAGATTAGGACAGCTAGCATTTATTGTGTGTTACATAGGAGTATGCAGTCCATGCACTTGATATCGATTATCATACTGTTCTTCAAAGCTACTGTATGCAGTAGATACCAACCTCGTTTTATAAATCTGAATCTGAGCCACAAAGGGATTAAGTCCTTTGCCCTGGGTCATTCATTCAGCTCATAAATGGTTGAGGTAGTAATAATAAGAGCTCCAGCAGTACAGTTGGATTTCAGACCTAGGCTGTCCTTGCGTGTCCACTCTACTTCATTGCCCCCTCCAGGCGGACTCCAGAGCTGCCTGGCAGAAGGTTCTTAGGGCAGTGAGGCTGCAGTGAGCACCAGAGGCCACCAGGGGGCAGAGGGCTGCCAGATGTTGGCCTTTGCTCTTTGGGGGAGGTTCCCTTTCTCCCTGGGGCTGGGCTCCATTTTTTCTGTCTAACCCCCCCACCCCCCAAGAGCTGGGAGCTCTTGAAGACAGGTTAAGAACCCCGGTGGCCAGCCCTCAGAATCGTCTACATCAGAGCTTGCTGGAGGGAGCCAAGTTGCCCGTGTAGTTCTCCGCAGTAAACATACTGGTGGGGCTCACTCCAGAGAGGTTTACAAGCCTGCTGACCCTCTCCCCCCACTATCACCCTGAGTCTGAG